GTCAAAAATATCATACAGCTCGGATAGTCATGTGTCATATGTTATTTGTAGAATAAAACAAGCATAATTGTTTGGGGCTTTGAATAAACTGGAGCGAGTTTTTGTACAAGAAGTCACCCCCAGACCCATATGAAAATAATATATTGATGTCACCATTTTACTTGTAACTTCATAAAACATGATCAGATCGTGGAAAACTAGGCACCATTATTTAGAGCAGATTCCGATTAAAAAGAGCCAAAAACCATATATAATCTGCCATTTATATCTAAAGATTTTCCTCATGAATTTATAAAACACATAAAACTGCACAGGCACCATGTAGTTTAGCCCAAAAAAATCTAAGGTAGCTGTCATGTGGCGATTTCACTTGTAACTTCATAAAACTTGCATATATCATAGAAAACGACACGTCATTATTTGCAGAAAATTCTCCCGATTAAAAAGACCAAACTCACCATAATCCATCGCTCAGATCTAAATATATCTCTCATAAAGCTATAACACATAGAAAAGAATTAGGTCATGTAGCTTAGCAAAAAAATCAGAGGTTGCAGTCCTGTGCCGTTTTAGCTCATAACTTCACCAAACATGCATAGATCTTGAAACCCGCACAGCATTATATTCAGAAAATTCTCCCGATTAAAAAGAGCCCAAATTTACCACAATCCGTCGATCAGATCGAAAGATTTCGTTCATAGAGCTGTAACACATGAAGCAGACAGGCGCACTTGAGGCACTGCAAAGAAAAACAACTTAATGCTTCATGTTGCTTTTTCATTAATAACTTCAGGAAACATGCATAGATCTTGAAAAACCGCATGTCATTATTTTCAGAAACTTCTCCCGATTAAAATGAGCCCAGAGATACCATAATCAGTCGATGAGATCTGAAGATATTGCTATAACACATTGGGCGCGCTGGGCGCGCTTCAGGAGCAGCAGGACAAATAACTGTAGTTTCACTTTGCGCTTTTATTCATAAACATGCATAACATGCATAGATCATGGAAAATTGCACGTCATTATTTTCAGAACATTCTCGAATTCATTCATTGGATCTAAATATATGACTTACCATGTGATGTTATCACACACATGAAACCATTAAATTGAGAAAAACATAGGTTACATTTTCATTTATAACTTCATGAAACATGCATAGATCATGGAAAATTCTCTCGATTAAAATGAGCCCATTCATACCATAAGCTGTCATTTAGATCTAAAGATATTAAACTCCAAATGCGCACGTTGCAATATTCTCATGTTTTTTACGCTTATCATTTCATGAAACATGCTCCGATCGGAAAATGGCATATCATTATTTACAGCAGATTCTCACGACTGAAATGAGTCCAAAATCAAAACAATCCATTGCGTCTTTCCTGTGTAAATAATACCTAAACCCATGAATTGAAGAAATCAGTTGGAGAGCTCTATTGGACACTTGGCAAGCAGAATGTAAAACATATAATGTTTCTGTCTATTTGATCTTTTATATAACATTTAAAAAAATAATTAGGCATCATTTTAAAGGTTAGAAATTCAGCTTTCGAAATATGCATTCAACCATTTTGATCAACTCCTAACCAGGGGTGCGTTTCCCAAAACCATGGTTAGCTAACTATGGTCGTTAATTCCATTGAATTCTATTAGCAACGACGGAACTTGCGACCATAGTTGCTTTCGGGAAACGCACCCCAGTGCTGCCTAGTTCCTCTAAACCGGAGCGGACGCCCCCTAGCGAAGAAAAAAACAATAAGCATATTTTTCAAAATATCTGCCTTAAAGGGGTCATATGATGCGATTTAAATTTTTCCTTTCTCTTTGGAATGTTACAAGCTCTTGGTGCATAAAGAAGATCTGTACCCGGAAAACAAATGCTGTAGTCCAAACGAGCCGTTCGTTGTAGTTCTTGAAAAGGGATTTAAAAAAAACGAAATATCTCCCTTTGGAGTGGACTTTGAGATTTGTAACTTTTTTTATCCCCAAACATACACACTACACACTGACTAAAATTAAAAAAGTGAAAAAGCATAATAGGACCCCTTTAATCAACACAAAATAGGTGTCATTTGAAAGCTTGGAGTCTGACCAAGCTGCATTATTCATTAAAAATTTATGACATTTATGTTGTTTAAGAACTAATGCAGCGATTGATTTTCTACATAATAATAATATACAAAATAATAGAACTTCATAATAATAGAACTCATAGTCCTGAAGTAAGGATTATATATTACAGCTAAAGCACAAGACTAAGTCTAAAGTCGACCACACACATACACACAAAGGGAATTCAGTTCAATCCACATCCTTGGCCACATCCTTTGCTGTCTACCACCCAAATTGTTGTCACTACACACAGCCACTACCCCACCCTGGGTTAACCCACTACTGCCTTTATTATAAACCCCCAGCCACCCCTTCACTGGTTCTGAACTACTTCCTTCATCCCTGGTATTTTCATCTTTGTAACTCAAGTCCTCTCCTGTGTATAGCTGCACTTATTTTGGGCTTTTGACCACTGTGTTTTGGTCACAGTTCTTTTTAACTATTTTTATTTATTTATTTAATTTTTTCTAAAGACAAAACTCTGCAGTCCTTGTGTTGGCATGAGTTACAACGTGGTTGTTGATGTGTGGTGGTGGATCTCAGATTATTTTCATTTGTGGTTCAGATTCAAAATTAAGCATATTATGTGAGCATCACTGCATTGTGTAATTGTATGGACTGTTTGTTTACATTGCAGCTGTGTTATTCTTGTGAGAGAGGGAATGGGTTTGGCACATGATTCACAGGCTTTGCGAATAGATGTTAACTTGACAATGTTCTTACATTTGATTGAAATGCCCTGCAACATCATCAAACACAGACACTCGAGACATGCAAGTGTAGTTTAGAATATTATGATGTAATATTTTAGTATAAATTATTTAAATATAAATATTATCATGTTCCTATATGTATTTATATATAATGCAATTCATCGATATGGATTTTATATATTTAAATTAGTGCTACAAAATAATAAATTAAAAAGTTAACTTATTAACTGCACAAGTTAATTTCTCCGACCAAATGACTTAAACATGCCTGACATCGTAATTATGACATCCCAACTCATAAATACAAACTTCCCAGGAGGATTTGAATGCACCAATATTTACAGGTTTGGAAGCTGCAATTATGATGTCAAATGCGGATGATGTCACTTTGGTTGGAGCAAGTTTTTATTACCTCTACTTCTACAGCATGATTAATTAAGTGTTTTTGCATTTTTATGTTTTTATTCAGTTTATGGTCAAATTAATCATTATATTCTATTGTAATTGTACAAAAATATTGTATTTTGTACGTGCAACTTTATTATTGTAAATGGAAAAAAATATTTAATTAATTTAAACAAATTTACTGTCAACATGGATGCTGCATCTTTTGTGTCTGCCATGTTTTCTCACTGAAACACCCCCAACGCAGAAGCTTGGGGCCAGAAAGTTTTGAGTTTCCTAATTTATAATTCTGACTTTGTGGTGCCATTCATGTGCGTTCAATACGTTAATATGATCTTTCCGACATGACTTGAACTCCCCAATACTTTAACACTAGCAAAAGGATGTGGGGAAAAGACATTCACAAATTAATGCATTGTTTTTCACAGCTCTAATTTAAATGAATCTAGTCGGTCATACTCAATAATGTAGTGCAAAATTACCAAATTTTTGGCAAATGCCAGCGACTTTACCTTTTAACCGTCACTGTGTCCGAAATCTCATACTGTCTAGTAGGTACTATATTTGGTTTGGAACTTGCTTTGCTTTGCTTTTTTTATTTCAACATCGTATAAAGTGATCTCAAGATATCAATGTACTCAAGTGACCTTTGGACTGAACATGTACATTTACTCGAATTTGGTATCACACTTCACACCTCTGAGAAATCCACTTTGCAGTGCATTATCACACCATTTGTTCATCTTTTTTGCTGTGTATAGGTGGTGCAAGCCTGCTCCAGAGAGTAGCACAGCTGCCCAGCTGCCACAGAAGCTCATCTGCTGCCCACCAATGCCCACCTCACCGATGTTTCTTCTGGAAGAAATGGAATAGTTCCCGCAGTGTGGTCCGGCCTGGTGTAGTGCGCCCCTCTTATGCTGTACCTAAGGTAATTGTGGCCTCATCAAGTGACACTAACAATTTAATGCTGATAAACTTGGAAAAAGAATTGATTTTTGAGCTTTATGCATCACAAATGTTCTTTATGTATGCTCTCTTCTCTCAGCACATCCAGAAGCCGGACTATGTGTCATCCAGCAAAGTGCCTGAGTGGCCAGATTACATAGAGATTAAAGATGAGGAGCAGATCCAAGGATTGAGACGAGCATGTCAACTAGCCAGACACGTACTGCTGCTGGCAGGAAAGAGTTTGAAGGTATACTCTACACTTACCTGAAATTTGAGAACGTAATGTTGAATAAGCTTGATGTGACATGTCCTCGAATTGTTTTTTTGCAGACACTGTCACTATATTGTTTGTTTTCTAGGTTGGTATGACGACAGATGAAATAGACTTTATAGTCCATCAGGAAGCCATTCGTCACAATGCCTACCCCTCTCCTTTACATTATGGGGGCTTTCCGAAGTCAGTCTGTACCTCTGTTAACAATGTAGTATGCCATGGCATTCCTGACAGGTAACTCAGTGCTATCAAGCGTAAGTGATTTGTTGTGACTGCATGTCTATACATTTGTTTGTTAGTATATGTGTCAATGGCATGGAGCAGTCCTGCTGCTGAAGGGCCAACAAACTGCAGAGTTTAGCTACAACCTGCTCCAAAACCCCTGCCTAGACATTTCTAGCAGAGATGGTCCTATTACTGGTAGATACCAACCTCTGTGGTTCTACCATTTGAGAAAATGTAATGGGCAACTTGTTTCACACGTGCCTTGATAACCACATTGTAGCCTTGACGTCATTGCATTTCTGTGACAGTCAGTTGCTGTTTGCAGATTCCATAGAAATGAATGAGTGAACGGAACCTGTTTCAAAATTGTCTGTGACTACTCTTATAAAACTATTTTTGCTGTGCTTTTCTCCAAATATTGTTCACTCCAAAACTGTTTAATGGCAAACAGGTTAAAGATTAGTGGACATGTCATTAATTGATAAGCTGTTTTCTCAAAAAAGGATATTGTTCAGCGTACTGAAGCCTCTCCTCCATTGACATCCATTCTCCCAAATGTACTGCAGTGTTGCATGTTTTTCTGTTAATTTTGGAGGCTCGATTTAAAGCTACTCTGTTTCTAGCACTCCTAAAGACCTTGATTACTTAGTATAGGTGTGTTTAATTAGGGTTGGAGCTAAACTTTTCAGGGTGTTGTCGCTCTAGGAGTAGAATTGGGCACTGTAATGTACACTTTGTATTCATGTTGGTTTCATTATTTAAAAACCTTTATACCATTTTCAAGAAAAGTCTGAATTTATTGACTTAAAATGTCAGGTGGTGTAAAAAGTTATAACATATTTAGCTTGAATAGATGTGAGTTATTGTAATAAATAAATACATTTTTCAAAATAAAAATACAATTTTTAAAAGTTTTTAGAGAGTCACAACATGAGTTATATTAGTTGCACCACATGACTTATACACATATTTTTCAAATATGAATAGGCTGTGAAGCAGTTTTGTTAAAATATTTTTTTCTAAGAAAATGCCAACTAATTATTTTTTTTATAGAATTTTATTCTGCCACTGAGGCTTTTTTCTTATGATGTCAGAACAATCATATCACCCCTGATTTTTGTACTTTATGCCCCTCAAAAATATATCGAAATGGACTTTAGTTCAGAAATTAAAATTATGTATGAATTGCATTTTTATGTATTTTTTAACAACTTATATGCAGTCAGTATTATATTTTGTTTCCTAGTCGGCCATTGCAGGATGGAGATATCATCAATATAGATGTTACAGTGAGTCCTTTGTTTAAATTCTAAGTTAGTTAATTGCTGTTAGATTCCAAATCAATAAAGTTATTGTTTACACCTCAGTATCTGTAAATAGTGGATGCTATATGTATTCTATAGGTTTATCTAGAAGGTTACCATGGTGACACCTCAGAAACATTTCTGATTGGCTCAGTCAATGAACAGGGGAGGAGGTTAGTGGATGTGGCTCGTCAGTGCAGAGATCAGGCCATCGCCGCCTGTGGACCAGGTCAACCTCTGTGTGTCATTGGCAACACTATCAGGTGTGTGTTCATTCCCACACTCATCCCAGATTGCATTACAGGTTGAATTCCTAACAGCATCCCGCGTCTTCAAGAGTGATGTCTGTGGGAAATGTTCTTTTATTCATTGCATTTTCCAACTTGTTCTTGTTAAAAATAGCACATCTAACCCCTAAACTTCTCTGTTATCCCTCTTGTGCGCAAAAGTAGAAAAAAAAGACCGCAATCTTGCCTCGTCAGTCCTTATTTGATAGTATAGTGTCTAAAGAAGGACTGCACAGAGTTAATGTATTTCACAGCGAGCTCCGAGCAGGCAATTACCCAGAGTGCAATGGGGTTTTTCTTGCAATGGGGTGTAAATTACAGGTTAGTTTGTCTTGTTGGATGTGTGCATGTGTGCAAGTGTCCATGTGTGTGTGTGTGTGAGGGGGAGAGAGAGAGAGAGAGAGAGAGAGCGATGTAAATTACAGGCTTGCTCCTGCTGTCTTTGAGAATCGTAGACTCTGCCAGGGTGGATTCAGCTCCCCACAGAGACACGAAAAGATCCGCAGGAGCCTTTTCACAGAGAGAGGACATAGTCACTCACATACAGTACAGAAACATCTTTAACAACATCGTATTGAATTTCCACTTCTAATACAAAGACCTAAATGTGCACAATATCAATAGTGAAGATGCCGAAATGGGTTCAAGGTCAAAACATATAGCTAAAAAAAAAGAGTGAATATTTTATTATTACTTTCATGACATATATAAATGCGTATTTTACTTATCTTGAAAATAATACTTTTAGGTGATTAAATGTGGTTTTTCGTACATTTTGTGCAGTGTAGCAATAGATATTTCTTCTGTGTCTGAGGAAGCAATGCTTTTGTTTCTCTCTTTCTTTCTCTCTGCGTAGGATTCTGAGCTTCTGCAGGGACATACACTGTTATTATATGCACACAGAGGGAACAATTACCTCTCCTCAGGAAAAAAGCACTTAGACCTCTCTTTCACTCCTCTCAATCTCTCGCTTTTATTTTTTTTATCATGCTGGCACCCTAGCATCCTCTCTCCAGCTCTCTCTTTGCAATTCTTTGTCTCTGTCTTTTATTCTTTCTCTTTCGTCTTTTTCTTTTTGTCTGTTACACACCTTTGTCCTCTACCTTCCCCCTTCCCCCTCCCGCCTCCCAGAATATAAAAAACAACAACTATTCGAGAACATTTCAAGCGTGCCTTATTCACAGTGAAAAGCTGTCTGAAATGTTACTTACATGTAGGCAACGTGGTTAAATTTGACATTTCAAAGGCAGCACCAAATTGGGTGTAGGCTCATGGGTAAACCAGACTTTTTTTACCCAATATCCAAAAGAGGAAAATGCACAAGCAATTTATCACCCATCAACCAAGATAACCCTGGCTAAACATACATTTGAGTATTTCTTTTTTTTGTTTCTGAATTACAGCAAAATAGCGAATTCAAATGGATTTTGTGTGTGTCCATATTTTATCGGCCATGGGATCGGCACGTATTTCCATGGTTATCCAGAGATATGGCATCATGGTGAGAGTTAAAATTATTTTATGTATTATTAATTTATTTTACTTAATATTTAGAAATTGACTTGAAAGGGATACTTTACTGAAAATGTCATGTCCAAACCTGTATGCCTGAATTTCTTCTGTAGAACGCAAGATATTTGGAAAAATGTCACAGGGTGTTTTGTTGTTGTTTGTGCTTTTAATGAAAGTCAGTAATCTAATTTCATTGTCCTTATAATGAAAGTCAAAGATCTTATATAGTTCGGATGCTAATATCTTCTTTAGTGCAGGTTTAGATTAATGACTGTTAGTAAATGATGACAATTTTCAGTTTTGGGTGAACTAACCCTCTAATTTATCTATGAGCTTTACTTCTAAAGCTAATTCATTTGTTAAACTCTATTGCAGCCATATGAATACAATTGATTAATGTGATCAGCTAAGATGTTTTACCATTAATTAGGGTAATGGTGCAAGGACCCTTTGAATTACTCTGTTTATATACAGTATTTTTTTTTTTTTTGGTGGTTCATGCTTCTTTTCTTTTTTACAGCCAATGACATTGACCTACAGATGGAAGAGGGCATGTCCTTCACCATAGGTCTGTGTGTGTACTCATCATTGTTTTAGATGACAGACAGATTGAATGTTATTAAGAACATCAACGGAAGCATGAATTTGTACATTTCAGGAAGTTAAACCATCCATCCATTTTTTCCAGAACCCATTCTTATGGAAGGATCCTCAGAATTCAAGATCCTGAGGGACAAGTGGACCGCTGTTTCTGTGGATGACAAAAGGTGCATGTTGTGTTGAATTTCCTCTCCCACACTTCTCTCACCACCTTTCTAATGAGAGCCCAAATGCAGCCATTTAAATGTAGCCTACATTAATCATTCATTACTTCATACAAGAATAAGTGGCCAATTTCTATTGAGAATCTTCAAGAACTTTATTTCTATTGGCTGTTGACATTTAGCTTGGAAAGACTAAGTACCCTCAGAATTTGAAGCACATATAGAGAGTTAAGTGCTCTGGGATAAACTTTCCTTTAACTGCATATATTTCACTGGAGAGCACTTCAGTGTAAATTGCAAATGAGCTGATTGCCCTGTTGGCAGGTGAGAGCAGAGTGTTACTACTTGGTCAGTGGTTGATTAGAGCTCTGATTTTTAAGGTTGAGTGGGGTAATATGTGATATAAGAAAATGGATACATTAGACTCTGAGGCCCCATCGTGATTTACTGAATAAGGACTCACAATTTCTTCCTTACAAAATATTTTTGAGCTTGGCAGAACTAGACAATATTCATAAAATATATAAAAACTCTAATGGTGTTATTAGATTTTATTATTATTATTATTATTATTGTTGTTACTTTTGCATTATTATTATTTTACATAACTTTTCTAGGTCTGGAAAATCACACTTCATGTTTTTTCTTTATGATATCAAATCATTAAAAGTCATCTAAGTTTGCCGAGGCCCCCTGGTGGGCCCTGGACCAGGTTGAGAACCAGTGATCTTAGAGGAACAACTGAATCTCAACATGTTTACCTGTGTGTTTGTTTTCTTGTGTGATAATGCTCAGATCGGCCCAATTTGAACACACGGTTGTCATCACCAGCGATGGTGTAGAGATTCTGACCAAACTACCAGATGAAGATCGACTGGACAAGAATATGGAACATCTTGAAGTGTGACTTGTGAGATGGATCTGAGTTTTTAGAGAAATAGAATCTGTTATTTAAATAAATGTTTCTTGACATTTATCCAATGTTTTATCTGATTTTATTAGCCTGACCAAATGGCATGGAACAGATGTGCAGCTCCAGCGCTGCGTTTTTACATTATGAATTAATAAGGTTAATTGTTTAATGCATGTAGGTTATTGTGTAATGAGTTTCAAAATCTCTTCACTATTCCAAACTCTTTGGTTTCTGATGTCATCTCTGACTGAACTCATTGAAAGCACAGGGAATGAAATGTCATTACGTCGTATTATTATGGCGGGGTTTCTCCGTACATGCTACAGCATGTAGCGCTGAGCCGTTCACAGGTGCTGTATTCTGCCATGAAGGATGTTCCAGATCATTATATTGACTTTAAAGTAGCTAATTGACTTAAAAACTCACTTTTCGTTTCAGCGTTTATCTTTCCATATTTCTGTTTTATGTACGATCATGATCTATTCCTATCTGAAGTTAAAGCTCAATGTTTTTAATAGCCTATTTATTTTGTTAATGCTAAGTTAATGCTTCGTAGTTCTTTGTTTTCTTCTTAATCGTACAATGCATTTTTCATTATAGCAAAGAAAAAAAAATATCCATGAGATCCAGCAAAATGTATGCAAATCAAGTATTCTGCCATGAAGGATGTTCCAGATCATTATATTGACTTTAAAGTAGCTAATTGACTTAAAAACTCACTTTTCGTTTCAGCGTTTATCTTTCCATATTTCTGTTTTATTTACGATCATGATCTATTCCTATCTGAAGTTAAAGCTCAATGTTTTTAATAGCCTATTTATTTTGTTAATGATAAGTTAATGCTTTGTAGTTCTTTGTTTTCTTCTTAATCGTACAATGCATTTTTCAACATAGCAAAGAAAAAAAAATATCCATGAGATCCAGCAAAATGTATGCAAATCAACTTTTGCGGTACTGACAGCCCACCATCGCAGGAACTTTTTCTGGAGTGTACAGAAAGTGGTTATTAATAGGCTAATACTGCCAGTGCACTACAAAATATGATTACAGACAACACCGCAAAATGTTTCCTTTCTTTTCTATTCTTGTAATGCAGGGACCCTCTGCTTCATGCACGTTCATAAAACGTCTGGAAGAGGAGCGAGCTGACTCCAGAGAGTCTGGAGTGGGAAGAGCCCTCGCCGCACGCGGAACGCCCTCGCATCTCCTTCTGCGCATGCCAAGACGCGTCCGAATGCCAGGCGTTCCCCCTCATGCCCAGAGGTACAGGATACTTCCTCACCAAGGACATTTACAAAGGATTAAATAGGATTAGATTCGTTCTACCGAATAATCACACATGCATAACGCGTGCAAAAGAAACGGAGATATGCACAGAAAAAGTCTGCATATAGACATAAATGTAGGCTAATGCTCTTTACAAACCTATGCAGACCACCATTTTAGCAAAAAAAAACAAAGTGCTTGGTTGCCACCTTAAAAGTAAAAGTAAAAAATTATAAATAATAATAAATAAATAAAAAAAACAGCTCCATAAAATCCTTGGGTTGAAGAAAAAAAAACACTTGAAACGACAATCAAAGAACCAAACGTTAAACTGATAGTAAAATGCACATTTAATTATGACTGGAGATTATAAGCATTTTAATAGATTTATCACTATACGTAATATATTCTGTACAACACACGAAAAAAGTCTACCCGTTTGTACTTGGAATGTGAAACAAACTTCTCTGATCACCCCTTTCATTTTGACTATAACGAAAACAAATAAATAAATAGAAAAATAATTTAATGTGCGTTGCTTGAGCGCATTAGTGGCGCCAAAGAGTTCCGCAGCAAACATCTTGAGCAAACCCGGCCAGAAAATAGATTTTAAAGTTAATGTTTTCCTAAGATACAAGTCCAGTGACAGAATAGGCCTATTATATAGGCCTACAACAGGTGTATTCGGCCATTTTAGTCCTCTTTTAGAATATGGTCCCAGCACTCATTGCAGAGCTGTGATGAGATTGTATTAAGGTACTGGGCTGTAGATGTGTGACCGTATTGGTGGATGAGTACCATGAATAGTTAGTCAAAAACGATGAGGCGGTGGTGTTTGGTGGTCCTGTGGGCTGTTCTGAAACTGTGTCCCCGTCGTTCTGTGTCTGGTTCGGTGGGAAATCCCAACCTGCTTGTGGTGGAGGAGTGCTAGAGGGAGAGTCACCGGCGGTAACCTGCTGGTCTGGTGGAATCTCGCCGTTTTTCCACAACTTTTTGAATTTTGAGCGTCGGTTCTGAAACCATATCTTCACCTGTGGTGCACAACAAAGCGCATCTAAGTTAAACAACTAACACAGCTCTGCCTGAAAATAAAAAGAACTACAGAAATACAGCCTCAGACTTATAGCCACAGCATGCAGTAAAAGAGCCGCGTTTGACCTGGGTCTGTGTGAGGCCCATAGAAGCCGCCAGTTCGGCGCGTTCTGGGAGCGCGAGATACTGGGTTTTCTGGAATCGGCGCTGGAGTGCCGCCAGCTGAAAACTGGAATAGATGGTTCGCGGTTTCCGGACTTTCTTTGGCTTTCCATTCACCATGCGCACCTCCGGTTCACTCTGTTCTTTCTCTATAAAAAGTTAACCACAAAAGTTGTCATTGTAAAATATCACAAGAAGACAACAGGTAACAGAAAACGACGTTTGGGAATACTGAGGTGGTCTTACCTGGTTCGGTTGGTGTTGGTGAAGAACTGGGTCCATACGTTCCGTAAGCGCCATAGGAAGAAGCATAGCCTAAATCGTAAGCCTTTGGGCTGTAGTGAACATTACCCAATGTACCAGGATGATAGGAATAAGATGCCATCTGTGCGTACGCTGTCCCCGTGCAGTGACCTGTCTGTGAACTACTGTAGAAGTTGCTGTCGGTCACAGTTGACACCGGCAATGTTGGGGAATCCTGCGACTTGTGAACGGTACTGAAGCTGCTCGAGGTAATATGGTTTGTATGCATATCCGAGCCAAGGCTATCCAGAACAGCGGTCATTTTGCAGGGAAAAAAACATTAAACTGAATTTACTTACCGTGACCACTTAAAATAGCTATTCAAAATCTGCACCTCTAACAATTAACCGTGATACAAAGATCACACAACTTATAGAGGTAGTTGGTTTCGCCTTAAGTTACATATCCATAGTTGATAAGAGGGTTTGAGCTCCGCGGCGGTCTCTGCCTTGGAGATGCTGACGGGCGGGCCATATACTGGGCGTCATGTGGTAAAGCGAACCAATCGGTTAGCAGGCAGACCAGAAGCACTGCCAGTTGAAGGAAGACCTCTGACAAGTTGAAATAACAAAATATCTTGCAGCCCTGGTCTTAAGGTTTTATTATTATTATTATTATTATTATTATTATTATTAGCAAAGAGATAAGAAATATAACCATTTGTCTCCTAAATAAATTATACATTAGCAAAATTAGGGAATTTCAAAAAGAAACAGGAAACAGCAAAATAGTCCTAGAGACAATTTTTTTCTCATATGGAAACTAGCCATAAATGAGAATAAAATGCATAAAGGAGCATTGTCTTTTTCAATAGTAGGAACATTTTGTTGTACATCTAATTGAATTATGTAATTTAATTCGAATTTAATTTTCTTGTTTATGTAACCTTAAAATGAACCCTGAACCTTAAACCTTGCAAACTGAGCAGTGCGCGTGTAAATTAGCCTACTCGATCAATGGCCTACATTTAGACCAACTAATAGTCTAAAAGCATCTAATGAAGCTTACAGTCTTGATTAAAGGGATATATTTCCCCATTGTTGAGCAGCACGGTTTAACTGGATTGCCATCTATCGTTGAAATGTTGTCAGTGTATCTTACGGAAGCAGTCTGCATTCCTCTGACTAATCACAAACGACGTTTGGGAATACTGAGGCGGTCTTACCTGGTTCGGTTGGAGTTGGTGAAGAACTGGGTCCATACGTTCCATAAGCGCCATAGGAAGAAGCATAGCCTAAATCGTAAGCCTTTGGGCTGTAGTGAACATTACCCAATGTACCAGGATGATAGGAATAAGATGCCATCTGTGCGTACGCTGTCCCCGTGCAGTGACCTGTCTGTGAACTACTGTAGAAGCTGCTGTCGGTCACAGTTGACACCGGCAATGTTGGGGAATCCTGCGACTTGTGAACGGTACTGAAGCTGCTCGAGGTAATATGGTTTGTATGCATATCCGAGCCAAGGCTATCCAGAACAGCGGTCATTTTGCAGGGAAAAAAACATTAAACTGAATTTACTTACCGTGACCACTTAAAATAGCTATTCAAAATCTGCACCTCTAACAATTAACCGTGATACAAAGATCACACAACTTATAGAGGTAGTTGGTTTCGCCTTAAGTTACATATCCATAGTTGATAAGAGGGTTTGAGCTCCGCGGCGGTCTCTGCCTTGGAGATGCTGACGGGCGGGCCATATACTGGGCGTCATGTGGTAAAGCGAACCAATCGGTTAGCAGGCAGACCAGAAGCACTGCCAGTTGAAGGAAGACCTCTGACAAGTTGAAATAACAAAATATCTTGCAGCCCTGGTCTTAAGGTTTTATTATTATTATTATTATTATTATTATTATTATTAGCAAAGAGATAAGAAATATAACCATTTGTCTCCTAAATAAATTATACATTAGCAAAATTAGGGAATTTCAAAAAGAAACAGGAAACAGCAAAATAGTCCTAGAGACAATTTTTTTCTCATATGGAAACTAGCCATAAATGAGAATAAAATGCATAAAGGAGCATTGTCTTTTTCAATAGTAGGAACATTTTGTTGTACATCTAATTGAATTATGTAATTTAATTCGAATTTAATTTTCTTGTTTATGTAACCTTAAAATGAACCCTGAACCTTAAACCTTGCAAACTGAGCAGTGCGCGTGTAAATTAGCCTACTCGATCAATGGCCTACATTTAGACCAACTAATAGTCTAAAAGCATCTAATGAAGCTTACAGTCTTGATTAAAGGGATATATTTCCCCATTGTTGAGCAGCACG